CCAGACTGTCCTTGCAAAGTTGGAACTGCCCCACTTTATAGAAACATTATGTTATTGGACATTATTGGAAGGCCAAACAAAGTAGTTTCGCTTTCACAACGAAACACACAGCGGCTTGAGTGAGCGGTGCCCGGCGGATTCGACAAAGGAGGCTTGCGTGTGACGACCCCGGGCTGGACTCTGCTTCGTCCACGGTGAAAGCCGATCCGGCGATTGACAGCGCGAAGTTGATGTTTTTCATCAGCGACCAGCATGGATCAGCTCTAGGGATGACAAAGCGGATATCGTCCTCTTTTGGAAGGCCAAACAAAGTAGTTTCGCTTTCACAATGAAACACACAGCATATCCACAACATGGCGGCGGCGGCAACAATACTACAGCGAGAATAAAAGTTACGCCTTCTTTCTTTGCGTGAACATTTGGGTGGCGTTATGCAAATCTTCCCACACAGTGACGTAGACATGTGGGGGCGTGTTTAAATGAGGCGTTTTAGGAGGGCATGGACAAGTCTTAACTTTTATAAAGAATATCTCTTTGGATTTGAGACTTTAGTCTTTGCAACTTTACAGATCTTCTTTATGCACCAAGAGCTTGTAACACTCCAAAGAGAAAGGAAAATTTTAAATCGCATCATATGACCCCTTTAATGACTGCAAGAATATACGCTGTATGCTGATTGCTATTTTTTGGAAAAATGGTAAGTGAAATTAAAATGGGATAATGTTTCAAACAGTAGCTACTATGCAACATTGTCAGATTACCTTATTAAGTTGTATATTTAGTTCAGCGAGTTCCATATAGTCTAAGAAATAAAAAACGCTTTTATTGCATTTTTTTTTATCCAGTTTATGTAAAATTGTCAACGTTTGTTTGTCCAATTAAATAATGAGTCAAGAAAGAGGTGTTAATCACAGCTGAGCTGGTATTCTTTCAGGATCATCACACTGTAACGGGAAGGTCATGTCAAGCGCATTGCATTTTGGAATGCTCTTCCACAGTAAACTTTTCACCTTGGGTAATCTATGCATACAGAATATTTGCATACTTCTTGGCGTGCACAGAATATATACACTGTATTATGTAGCAATAGTAAGTAGTATGCAAGTATACATGACTTGCTTTATGCTTTTGGCGGATTACAGCGCCATCCAGTGTTCAGTTGTAGTCATAGACTTGATATTCACAAATCCTAAACACTATTTTGAATTATGTTCTTATGTTCTTAATACAGAATTATTCACAGTGCTACATTAATATAGTCATGAATTATTGAAAAAGCATGTATTTTGTGCGGAATCTTGGTCCTCACTGTAGGAATTAAAATGTAAAGTAGGCCACAGGCATGGGTTTTTAGAAGTAATGATTATCTCCTAAAATAGATTTTTTAAATGATTTAAAAGTTATAATGGTTGCAGTAACTTCTCTCTGCATTATCTATGTGTGGCTTCCTCACAGTCCGCTGTTCCCTTGACTTGCGGTATTGAACCCCTGGCCTTGATACATGAGCCATATCTTCATAACAGATTCCTCGTTTTTTTGTGGACTTCCTCAGCCCATTTGAGGTTTGAGTTCAAGGTGCCGTATTGC